AGCGCCCGTGGGCTGCCCGTCCTTCCCGTGCGCTGTGTGCGGCTGGCACCGAGCTGAGCTGGCACACCGAGCTGTCCCAGCACGGCCCTGCAGTTGTCTTTCTGTTGTAGAGTTTAGAGTCGATAATTCAGCGAGACTTCTTTCCTGATGTGGAGAAGCTACGAGCGCAGAAGGAATATCTGGAGGCTGAAGAAAATGGTGACTTGGAGAAAATGAGACAAATTGCTATCAAGTTTGGCTCCTCCTTGAGTAAATCATCGAGGGACACACCTGCACCCTGTAAGAACTAGGGCATAAGAGTTTTATATTTAATATTACTGCCCTTGTTTATCTAACTTTGTGCAGGCAGTGCTTATCTTAAAGATTCAAGATTGACATTGCATGGGAATTAGAGTATACCAGATTGGGCAGTAGCCAGTATCTGATGGCTGATGCTGAATATCTCTTTGATAGTATCCAATAATTCCTTCTTGGAGGAATGGTTTTGGAAAAAACAGCTCTTGAATAACCATTTCTCATAGGAATTTTTTGCCAAGTTCCCGCTCCCTAGGGAATGTTATATGCTGTAGTGTGCAATATTAAACTATTAGAAACTCTAAGCTCTGTTTTGAATCCTTCTTATAGTTTTAGGGGTTCCTGTTGCATTCTGAGGCGTGTAAGATTTTCAGATATTGGGGACAGAAGGTGTTGAAAGCTCGTGATTATCAGTGGTTCACCCAGCTGGCATCCAATGCCCTGTTGTATGTTTTCTTTCCCTTCAAGTTCAGGTGTTTCTTATACTAAAGCCCAGTCCCTGGCCAAGCTCTTGCAGTGGGGTTTGGGTAACTAGCTTTCTTGTGGCAAAGGGCATCTGTCACCTGCTGCAGGTGCTGGCCCTGGCCTAAGTTGATATTCTTGTGCTACTGCTTGCTTCTCTTGGCAAAAGCTGTGGAAAGGGTGGTAAATATACTGGGCTGTGGCTTTCCTGTGAAATTTTCCCAGCAGGAGAAAAATAATGTCTTAGATGAGAGTAAAATCTTGGGACAGAATCATATAGAATATTTTGGAGTCTTTCCACAACTTTTTCATTAAATTGTTGTTCTCTTGATATGTCTCTGTGACTTGTTTGGCACATGGCCCTTACTGTGGTGGAAGGTGTCACAGCCAGTGTCCTGTTCTATTCTCTAGTAACCATGTGAACCTTTTTTTTTTTCCCTGTCACAGATGTTACTCCAGCCACATTTGAAACCCCAGAAATGCATCCAGGTGGCCTTCCGCTGGGGAATAAATCCAAAGGTGGCATAAAAGCTGCAGAGGAAGGTAGGAGAATGATATGTCTCTAGCTGAATTCTTCAGCAGCGGGCAAATACTTTTATGAGCTCTGTCTCCTGTAATGATTTTGGGTATTTAGCAGATGTTTAAGGAGTTTCCTTTAACCTTCTGGTAGGTGAAAATGATCACTCTGAAGTTGAACTTCATGTAATGTTTTACATCATGGGTGTGAATTCTCAGTTATGGGTCTCTTTATGGCTGTGTAAATTCTTAACTCAGTTATCTCTGTGAAGGCAGTAAATTTTTCCTATGTCACCTGAAATTAATTCTGTAAGTAAGCAAAGATTGTCAGAGCAGAGCTATTCATATAGTATATTAAAAATGTCTGCTAACAGCTGGCCACTTGTGCATTTTCCCTTTAACACAGGTAGCTTTAAATGCCATAAAAGGATTTATGTGAAAAGTGGTTATATGTCTTCCAAAAAAGAATTTATTATCGTATCACTCTGTGTGTATATATTTTTTTTTTTCACCAAACTTAGTGTTAGTTATTAGTGGGTCCGTAGAAGGCTCACTGTCAGACAGGAGTCGGAGTTATGTATAGCTCTCTCACAGAGAGGGAGGTATTAACCTTTCTCAGACTTCTTCCCTCCTCTTGTTAGGAGAAGCAGGAAAAGATGATAAAGATGCACTTCCCAGTTTGGACAGCTTCTTAGCAAAACACACGAGTGAAGATAATGCTTCGTTTGAGCAGATCATGGAAGTGGCCAAAGAGAAGGAGAAAGTTAAGCATGCTTGGCTGTACAGTGCAGAAGAGGAGTATGCCCAGGTAGGGAAATGGCTCAGCTGTATCTCTGCTCTTCCAAAGTGGCACAATAGGGAAATACCATTTTACTGTATTTATTTCTTGTTTGATTAAATGGAATATTGTCTTACCTTCTGTTTTTGAATGCCACTATAAATATGGATGAGAATTCATTGGCTCTGAGCCATGGGGCTATTGCATTAGACTGTTGAATTACTCATTTAATTGGATAAGAATAGAAATTTTGAGTAGTTGGTGCATGGGGTGATCACATCTAAATCTAAGCTAAGCCTGAGTTTCCTGGGTTCTGTGACAGCTCATTGCTTCCTTTTGCAGTCTGTTTTTTTCCCCATCTGTAACACAAGCGCAATGTTGATATAGTTGCTGAGGATCTGTCTCTTCCTAAAGCTTTGAAACTGTGAAGCGTTGCGCTAAGTGCAAGTGTTGCTGTTCTTGGCAATCTCTTCCATAAGCAGCAATACCAAGGAGAGAACAGTTCCTGTTGTTTGTCCATCAGCTCTTTATTATTTGTGGTTAGATTGTCTTTCTTATTTCAGTTTTCTGTTTCTATTATCAGTAATAATCCATTTGGCTGCCAAAGTAAAGTACTGTACACAGTATGGCTGGCTATGCTGTCTTCCTCAGCTAGGTTTGTGGGAGGTTCAGGAGCTGTTCTGGGGCTGCCATGTCAATCTTTCTCCACCAGCAGTGGGCAGCTGGCACTGTTGCCAGGTGTGTCAGTGATGGATGTTAGCTGCAGTGCCTTTTAATGAAGTTTGGCACTGACACATGAGTGTTTACTGCTGTTGTTGGGAGTGTTATGTTTTTATCGCAGATAATGTAAATCCTTGGAGTCTGCTACAATAAAAATGCCCTCTGTGGCTCCTTATGCATCTTCTTCGCTCAAATACTTTCATCCAGAATTAAAAGGCAGGCAGCAGGAGAACACTTCCAAAGCTCAAGGGTTGTTTTAGGTCAGGCTGAAGTTGCTGGAGCCGATCTTGTGCTGATGTTGTGTGTCTTCCTGTCAGCCAGCACTCTGTTCAGACCTTGCATTTCCTTGCACAGCATACCTGTTTGTGTAGCAGACAGCTTCACTATGCCTCATTTAACGTATTCAGTGACAATACTGCTATTTAAATGTATACAGATGATACCTGTTACAGACAGCATCAGTTGATGTCTTTAATATAAATCTTCCGGCAGTAATCGTCTGGTTCAGTTAGTGTGAGAATTTTAAAATGGAGTAACTTACTGGTGGCCAACTGCGTTCTATTAGTTTCTTTTTGGTATCAGTGATACTAATACGCTAGTAACAGCACAAAAGTAATCCTGCAAATATGTCAAATGCTTCCATACCTGTACTGCCTATGGAAATCTTTGGAAACTCTCTGACTACGTATTGAAGAAGTGTCTGTTCTTTTGTTACTGCTTGCCTCAGCTGATACAGTTTGCACGAGACTAGGATAGTACAAATGTTCTCCCAAGGTTGCATGCGAAAGCCTTGTAGACTGCCTTTATATTAGAGATGTGTCATATGTCACTCTTCCCTTATTTAGCAATTAATGCTTCATTTGAATTTTGATTAGTAGATGGAGAAAAAACAGAAAAAGTTTGAACTGTCACAAGTCTTGTCACACAATGTAATAAACGAGGTCATAATCTTTCTGAGAAGATACTTCTTTAGTTCTCACTTGATTTTATACCAAAAGTTCATATGGAGTTGTTGTTTGCAAGCTCACCTGGGAACAGCATGGTTTCTCAAATGCCACTTGTCAGAGAGAAAGTGCTTGTGCCATGCCCGATGCAAATTCTCTTTCGGACCTAATTTTTTTTTCTGAATTTAATTTTTTTTTCTTTCCCATCGCCCTTTCAGCGACAAAATCAGAGCCTGGTGCTTCCTTCAGCAGAACAGGAAGCTCTGGAAAATGTGAAAGCTGGACTGGAGACCTGGGAATACACAGCTCGAAACACCCTCATGTATTATCCAACAGGTGAGGCACACAGGTTTCTCAGGAGAGGCATTGGTTCTAGGTGGGTTGACTCCAAACACTGCTTACAGCATTTCTCTAGGTGACTGGGAAGCTCTTACTGGTAATACTGCGCTTTTTCTTCTGTGAAGTTCGGATATGTAAAGTTGTTTATAAAACAGTGGGGTTTTGTCCTTTTTTTTTTTCTTTTTTTTTTTTTTTTACTTTTCTTTCTTTGGACCTTACTCCTTTGCCTGTGATTGCAAAGTTTGATCATGTCCTATTTGTTATGGAGAAGCTCGTTATCTGTATTACAGAAGCACTTGTTTTCAGGAGCCAAAGCTCTTTCCAGTTTGGTCTATCTTAAATTTAATTATTCTTTGCTTCTACTCAAAGAGTACTCGTTGGGCTTGTGGGTCCCTTGGTTGCTGCAGAAAATTACATAATTTTGTAAATGCAGTTTTCTGTTTGGCTGTAAATGTACAATTGATAATTTCTGCAAACCAGTGAATTACAGAAAAGAAAGTCTTGTTCTTAAAAAAAAAAATAATCTGATCTTAATTTATGGATTTCAGGAGTTACAAAGCATGTATCTAGTGCAAATTTTGTTTTAAATTGCTAGAGGTGCACACTTCAATTGCTGATGGATTCTGTGTTATGTAGAAATGTATGGCAAGTGTCATGTTGGTCCGGAGCTTTAGGGCACACTGCGTAGTGTTACCTGAGCCCTTTTCTTAAAAGACGTTTTGCTTTTCAAGGTGTTCCTGATGAGGGTGACGTATTTAAGAAGCCCAGGGAAGTTGTCCATCGAAACACTCGTTTTGTGAAGGACCCTTTTAGCCAAGCTGTGAGCAAATCACAGCTCCAACAAGCTGCAGCCCTCAATGCTCAGGTTGGATAACTTTACTTCTCCTGACTAAAACCTTGTTAGGCTCTGCCCTCTGGTGTTGTTCCTCAACCAGGAGAACTGTGTATGTGCTAAACACAGCTGACACGCTGTGAATGGCATTGTGTTTTTTATTTCAGTACAAACAAGGCAAAGTGGGACCAGATGGGAAAGAACTGATACCCCAAGAGTCTCCAAAAGTGAATGGATATGGATTTGTGGCAACCCCCTCTCCTGCCCCTGGTAAGAAGGTTTTCTTATTTTTTCTGATGCGAGAGGACTGCTACTGCACTTATTTTGATGCTATGTTTGTTCAATGCTGAGGTGTCATTGTTGGTTTAGACAAGGAGGTAAGCCTTCTATCTGTATATGTCTCATGAGCTGGTGATTTTCTTGTGTACTGTGTATGCCAGCTCCATGCAGTGCTTAAGTCCTAGTCCAGTATGCTGGCAAGGGAAGTGATGCTGTACCCGGGAGGCTCCAAGCAAGCTGCTGCGCCATTGCTTGGGAATCATCTAGAGGACAGTGAGCCTTCCTAGGCAACTGGGGTACTGTGGCTGCGTGTTTTAGCCCTGGGTGATGCTTCTCTAAAGCTTAAAGATAAGAATTCAAACATTTCACAAACATTAACCTTCCAACAAGTTCAGATGCTCATTTTTCAAAATGAGCATTCGTGTCAGTGTGTCCAGTAGTTTGCTGAGTGATGGTTCAGCCTGGCTCGTAGGGCTGTGGTATATCTCACTTCCTTCACAGTCTAACCTACTGTTTTCCTCCAGGTCTGCTGCTTTCTGGATTCTTCCTTTATCTGAATACACTTGCCTATTACAGATTCCTTTTGTTCAGATGTATTAGCCACAGGATATGTTCAGTTAGAACAGTGTTTTACTTCTAGTTGAAATGTGGAATTTTTAGCTGTTCTTCACCAGCCATTATGTTTCCCTGTCTTCTGTTATTATTCTAAAAGGTGAACATACTGAAGCTTTTCCTTCGGAAAGCCTGTAGGTGGCATTTGGAGCCTACATGAACCTTCTCCATCGTAAATGCCTTTTCCGAACCCTGGACAGCAGGGTTTTCTAGTCAGTGGCTTAATCGGGCTCTTAGAATCTGTTCTGCAGTTGTAGCTCTTGGACAAGGTGCAGTCACTGTTTGGTACAGGCTAACCTCGAGATGAATCGAGCGTATGTTTGGCTATTACATGTATCTTAAGTCCTCTGCCCATTTCCCTGCTTTTAAATAGTTCCTTGTGTTGAAGGAGTTTTCGTACAGTAGCAGAGGGGAAAACTAGTATCGTAGAGGGAAAAATGAAAGTGTCACTAAGCAAAAGCTCACCAAATGGAAAAATAAACACACGGAAGGGACAGTGCTTGGGTGTTGTAACCTAGAGGGTGACACAGCCACAGGCAGTACTGTGAGTTTAAGGCCGTGCCCTTTTAATGGGAACCGTATGTTACTATTCAGCATGGGCTGTGGTTTCCTCTGCAGTGGAGGGGCTCCTTTGTGTGTTGATGAATTTGCTGCATTTCATAATTTGCTTCTCTGGATTTTTTTGTGGTGAACAAATAGTCAAATGTTTTGCATGAGCATGACTTTTACAATTTGGTTTTAGGTGTGAATGAGTCTCCTTTTATGACATGGGGTGAAATCGAAAGTACCCCTTTGCGTCTAGAAGGGTCAGAAACACCGTATGTGGACAGAACACCTGGACCAGCCTTCAAGGTATTTCATGTCAGGAGTCAGCATGTCATTCTTTTTGGGGGGGAAGGACTAAGAAGGGAAAGGCAGGTGAGTAACTAAGAGATTAACGTTATTGTGGGAGTGTGACACATCTCTGGGCTGTGTTTCCAGTCCTTGAGACTAATAATCTAGGTTCTGCTTGGAGGGTGGAGGTGAACATGGCACCACATGAAAGCTACTTGGTGGAGATACCTGAGGTGGAACACGCACTGTTGGCAGGAGAGTGAGACTTGATATTTGATGATGCACCCAGACAGAGGGACCTTCAGAGGAAGCTGAAGAGATGCCTCATTTCTCTGATTTTAATGTATGAATGGGTAGAAATTGTAGGATTTCCCTTTGTCTTGATCTTCTGGCTGTCACAGCCTGAGGGAAGTTTATCACTTGAGAGTAGAAAAGGTGCTCTGGCTTTGCTAATGGCACCTGACCCTTCATGCCACCTGTCTCCTGCTGGTGTCATTGAATGTGAGCTGTCTTAGTTTGAGAGGTGTAATTTGCTGTATGTGCCTCTGTTTTGTCAGACTCCAAAGCCCGTGACTGGTTCTCCTGCTGCTTAGCAATGTCTGTGTTTGCCTGAGAGCTTAGCTGGCTACAGGCCAGGCTAGGGAAGACACAGGTGACGTTGTTTGTGTAGGAGAGACAGCAGGAGGAAATGCCAGAGGTAATGGCTGCTTCCTTGACTGAACTGGTTTCACCATTTTGGTACTTGCTAAGGCAGGTTGAAGGTGTCTTTGTGTCCTCTCTGGCTTTTATGCAGCAGCAGAGAGGTGTGGGCTGACCCCACTTCGCCCCAGTTGAGATTGCTGTGGGCTGGAATCCAACTGTGAAGGTGCTTTGACTCGTTCCTGCGGTGCTCACATGAGTGCCTTGGTGAGCGAACTGTGTGATGCATTTATAGATCCTGGAGCCCGGGCGCCGTGAGAGGTTGGGACTCAAGGTGGCCAATGAAGTGGCAGCTAAAAACCGAGCAAAGAAGCAGGAGGCGCTTCGAAAAGTGACAGAAAACTTGGCCAGGTGAGACTTCTGTTCTGACAGCAGAACTGGGCGTGGCTATTTTCTGATGCAATTCAACTCAACATACGTAGAGAGGGAGGAACGATAAGAGTACTGGAAGCAGGAAGAGGTCCAGTCAACACAAAAGTTCTTAGAAATTAAAAAAGTTCATTCCTGAGGGAAGGTGGCTGGTGGCTGTAGCTGATACTCCCTCTTGTCAGCATTACTGTTCTGCCCCACAGCCAGCCAGCAGTGCATCTGGGTCGGTGTCTTGCAAATGGGAGCCACGATAAGGCTTGCTTGGCTGGGTCACGGGAAGGGTGAAACAGGCTCAAAGGAAGAGGCAGGCAATGCCACTCAGGTTTGGGAAGGGATATGGGAGGTTTCTCATCCCTTCTCTCTCTAGAGAGACAGGCTGCATTTACCTGCAGGCAGAATGACTTCTGCAGCCAGTGGGTCTGGTGTGGGGGGAGGGTGGACACCGAACTCGCGTGTGGAAGCATTGATGCTCTTCCTGATAAA